TTCCGAAATGAGATACCTACAGTAGATAAGATATTAAGATTAGTTAATGCTGATGAGGATCTTCCATCATTTAAAAGAACCACATTCCGAAAACTTTTGAAGGAACTTAATTTTCGATTCTTGAAACGGGGAAGAAACAGTATGTTAATAGAGAAAGAAGAAATTGTTGTGTGGAGAAGGGAATACCTTAGGAAGATTCGGAAGTTTGCGATGAAAAAAGAAAAATTTACTATTTGGACGAAACGTGGGTGAATGCTGGACATACTCAAGCGAAAGTTTGGGTCGACAAATCAGTAACATCAGCAAGCAGGCTTTTCTAGACGGTCTTTCGGCTGGATTGAAAAATCCTGCAGGTAAGCTCCTTCATCTATCCGGCAATTTAATTTTGATAAATTCGGGCAAATAATATGCTGTGATAGCAGATAATGTGTGATATTCTCCAAAAATGGTGCATTCGCAGTGTAGTCATTAGGAAAAAAACTTCGACCCTCTTTTAAGCGTTATTTTGAAATTTATTATCATTTTTGGGTGCAGTCAATTTGCTTTGAATGGGTTTTGAGAAGTTGCAAACTTCAATTTTCTACGTTTTTCAGTTTTTGATCAGCATTCCGTGACTCTTAAATTCAGCTAAATGAACTCAATTGCCTCATTCCTTCAAATTTAATCAATCCATAGTGTAAGGAATAATTTATTTCCAGGAAAAGGCAAACGGTTCTCCAAAATGTTACTAAAGCTGGAGAATAACGCTGTTATTGTACTGGATAATGCCCCGTACCATTCTAGAAAAATAGAAAAAATTCCCACAATGGCAACTAAAAAAGCAAACATGCAACAATGGCTGGCCTCAAAACAGATCGATTTTGATGAAACAATGGTCAAGGGTGAATTGATAAGTATAGTCAATAGACATAAATACAAATACGATTTTAAAATGATCGACGAAATGGCCAAAAAACAAAATCAAACTGTCTTGAGACTGCCACCCTACCATTGTGAGCTGAACCCTATTGAGCTGATTTGGGCCAACATAAAGCAATAATAATACTTATAAATTTTCTGATGTTAAAAATCTCTTTCACATCGCAGTCAATAGAGTTACGGCACAGGAATGGAAAAACTGTATCCGCCACGTTCGGGAGAAGGTTGAGGTCAAAATGTGGGATTTGGACAATGTCATCGATACCCAAATTGAACCTCTAATAATTCATTTAAACGATTCAGAAGATTCAAGTTCCTCTTCTGAATGAGTGCGCGCAGCTTACTTACTAATAACTAAAAAGTGTAGTTAACTCATTTGTGAATCTCTAACTGAAATTTACTGTAAAAGATAATAATTATCTTGTATGAAATTTTTGATGACTACCCATAATATCTTGATGCGGTCCTGTAATGTCTCCTGCGCCTAAACACTCACTCACGAGCAATATGCGTGTATTTGTTAATACGCGTTAATCGATTCATTTTACAGACACCTCGAAGCCTCTAGAAGTTAGAAATCAGATTGGGCACGCGGATTGGGCGGGATGGAAACTCATATTTCTAGGTTGTGCTTTGGTCTGCTTGCAGTCCTTTTCCAATATTTTCCCGAATACATTCAGGAATGACAATTTGGTTGCCACCAAAAATGGAAAATGCAGAACGAAATGCAATCGTTATATACAAGATGACATCATTTTATAATTAGCAATCACTCAAATAGTTTCCCACACATAATCTCGCATATTTTATACGGACGAAGTCAACGTAATGGATTCTACCTTTTGTTAATCTATTTGGCTAATTGCCAAAAACAATTATACATATTGTAGGAAGCGTCCAAGGTTGTGTCAGTGATCGGACGACTCAAAATGAATTTCTTCAGTTGTATTCTTCATCCTGTGCGGGCAAAATTTGCAAATTGACACTTTAACAGCCTTTAATTACCAACTCTTATATTAGAATATAATAGTAATTGTCTTCGAAGGTTGAAGACATTTAGGCTCAGTCAGTGTACACTAATGTGTATGTCATTTGCATTATTTGCCTATTGTCAAAACTTTTTTTTAATTTCAAGGTATGATATCTGTGCAGGATGTCTTTTGCGGGATGTTCTCTAATGGACGTCCTATATGAAAATTACTATTCAAAATGAAAGACGGATGATTCTAGGTTCGATTAATTGTATTAATTGTTCATCATCAACTTTTATTTTTGAAACATTCAGGCATGATAGCTTTTAAAGCGATTCTTCTAAAATTGCCAAATATTTGTTTGTATCCACATTTCCATCAATAAAATGAAATTTTCCTACTCCTTTTGATGACATACTGCCCCAGACCATAATGGATGCTGGAAATTTCACTATTCTCTTCAAACAGTCAACATGGAATGCTTCATTTTTTTGCGAATAACTCTACCGCGACTGTCACCAACACAAACTTCGAATCGGGCCTCATCACTCCATTGTATTGCACACCATTGTTGAGGTGTCCATTGTCTATGTTCTTTAGCCCATCTAAGCCGATTTTTCTTTTGCAGTGGAGTTAATAGTGGCTTTTCTTTGGCCTATAAACAAGTTGTGCAAGTTTTGGGTTTTAACTTCACTTTTTTTTATAAGAAAACTTACCTTGCAAGTGCTAAATCCCAGTTTGTGGGCCTCTCTATGAGTTGTGGACCTCGAAATTCTCCTTCCAACATCGTCACTCCACGGAGCACTTAATTGTAAATAATTGGCACACCTGTTTTTCCCGATTATTCTTCTTAATGCCCTTCTTTTTTTTTATACTCCAACTACCACGAAGGCCTAAGGCCTAAACACCCATTAGGTACCGTGGGGCTATAAGAGGATACAGGGGAAAGGGGGAACGCCACACGGACTCTGGCGAGGGAACACGTGTGCATGCAACATGCACATATTCTGGCTCCGCCTACGAGATCCGCCGGGTGGTACCTCCGCGTTCGACAGTCAGAAACCGTCTACCACCTACGTTAACCTTTCCTCTACCCATTTTGAAAACCTTAACTACCCAAAACTATTTTAAACGTATTGTGACAGCTGTGATTATTAGAAACAGTTGTCATGGCTTTTATTTTTCACAGCCAAATATGCGTTATAGACATATTTTGCATTGAAATGAAAATAGGTTGATATGCTGTAATTGCAACATATGTTATTTTTATGCTACAAATTTGATTAGGGAGTGATCAAATTGGTGTTTTCTACTATATATTATCAAAATATCCACCGTTAATATTTTAAACCTATAACACCCTGCTATATTTTTATTATTTGTGTTTGATAAGAAAAAAATTAAGATTTCAATAGTTTGGCCAACTGAAGTGGGAAGGCGCTCGTTATTCCAAAATGCAATTTGATATCGCCAGATCATTCTAATGAATCCAAACACCGCCTTCAAGTTGAAATTAGAGCTTCAAAAATTGATACTTTGTTTCTTCGTTTTGTTTACAAATGATGTCAAAGGTTCTCGAAATTTAGACCTGCTGTGTTGACAAAATCGCTCGTTTTTAACTAAAAGACAAACGCGGGTAGTGAGAGTGTGAGCATTTTACAGAGCAGCATAAAGATGCTGGAATAATAAGCATCCTATAATATCTCAGTAAGCTCGCGCGAGGAAGAAAAAGTTTAAAATAATGAAAAGTGAATGGCGAACAGGTTTTGTAGCGATTGCGGATAATATTATAATAAGACGAGACAAAGATTCGAAAAACAACTTTCCTGCGATAGGTAGGACGTCCGAAGGCGGTTGCCTTTTTTGATAATACAGTTACGTCGTCAAACACTTTTATATCCTATGTAAAGGTCAAAGATCTCTTACATTTATTTTAATTTTCGGAAACCCAAACTGCCACTATAATTCGCGCCCACCGCGTCCTCTTCCATATACGAGCACACGGATAGCAGGAGTCAGAACATTGACTTTCGATTCAATTTTACCTCATTTCGCATTTCCACTTATTAGCACTACATGTAGCGAGAAACGTGCTTAAAAATAATGTTTCCTAAAATAGTAATTTGAATACTACGCATACTTGATACTTTATTGTCTTGTTGATCACTGAACACTTCATCATCTAAGGAAAAGTCATATCTGCGTGCTAGCATGTATGGAGAGAAAAGAAAGTATAAGTATAAAATAAAGTCGATAGTGAAGATAACAGATGGTATTGAAACAATGCACTTCAGAAAAATGCATGAGATTGAAACAGTTAAATCGCGCACAACACATGATTCTGAAAAGCATTCGATAGAAAATGCTAAGAAGCTTATAAGATATGCACATACAGTGATCTTATCACACATAAGAAACACTCATACATACACAAGGAGAGGGCAAGGGTGCGGGGTATTCAATTCACAGTTTTTGAGTTTAATATGTACGCAATAAGAAAAAATCATACGGCTTTTTTTCTAGAAAAAAATCTGGTAATCCGTTTCTGTACCTCAGTGCCAGACTAGAATAAGTCCTAATAAGTAGTTTTGAGATAATTCTATTTGAAATATTTTTTTTGCATTGTATTGTATGGGACTTGACATGAGTTGAAAAGTCGTAACTTCCTTATTTTTGCAGATACATGGTCGCTGCATGTAGCGAATGAAAATTCACAATATTGTCATGAGTTTAACATATTTAACTCATTTTTGAGAAAAATGGACTTAACCTAGTCTGGCTCTGGGGTACAGGTTTGTAATCTGTTTACATTACAATAACTTTATTTGATTATTCAAAATTGTAATATATGAAGGAACTCAAACAAAACACATACAAAATACACAGTTTCTTAATTGTTAAACATTATGGTTTATTGTTTATACAGAAGTATACCATCAAATACATTTTATACATGATATAGAGTATTTATAGCGTTAGGACTTATGATTTCAATAATTTTACTTCAGAAATTCATGAGCATTATCATAAAAACAAGTAAAAAGAAAACAATATATAAGACAGTTTGCACAACAAATAAATGCAGCATTTTACAAGTTTTTCTTGAAAACAAACTTCCTTCAATTTCATGAATTTTTCTCGATGCTTAGATGGCTTTGCAGGCATACTTGATGATTTTTGACAAGACTGAAATAGAGAACTGACGATGAACGAACTGGATTTTAAAACAATCCTTACGAGACTTAAATTCCCGATTTTGTTTAATCAATCGCGAACAGCTTAGAATCATTTTTTAATCAAATTTTTAGCATCACAAGGTTGTACGAGTGAAGTACACTTTGCATTTACTACTTTAATAGCACAAGTAGATACTTTCTCATTATCGAATCTTTAAGTTTGCAATGGTTAAAGTATTGTAAATTCAGTAATTCACTATTCGATAATATAGATGAATTTGAAACAAGGGTCGTAACGTGTTATCTAATTATAAGAATTTTTTTGTTTGGAAAAATCTATGATTTTTATTGTCGACAATGGTAGAAATGATTCAAAAAGATTTTGGGAAAAATTGTATGAGTCCTATAGTTCGTGGATTTGCCTACTATATAAAACATTCCTGTAAACTTAAAACGAAAACGATATCGACGAAAATGAGTTTCTGTTTTCACATATACAGTGAGAACCAAATTTGTTTGAAAGCTTGAGTTCAATATTTACGAAAGAGAAGAGTGTACGTTAGAAAGAGATAGAAGCCGGGTGGATAGCAAAGCTCATCATCGCGTTGCCTAGCAACGCTGACGTTGCCAATATTACACCAGTTCCTTGAATTAAGGTGCATGTTGACAATACCCGTGAGTTGTATTTTGAGCGTACACCTTTTAATTGTGTCGACTCCGGATTGATGTCAAATGATTTCGCTTTATCTTGTGAAGAAAATGGTATATGCCCCTATTGGCTTTTCTCGAGTAATTTAGCTGGTGGCTCAAATATTCATTTATATAGATACGTCGTTCAAAAGTAAATTCGTCCTGCAATATGCAGTTAGAAAAGAAAAGTCTACCATAGACGCACTTAGTGCATTGGTGCAGCTGGCAGAAGCAAGCGATAGCGGCAGCTACAGTAGTAGTAGTAGATATTACAAATCTTTACGTTATGTTTGCCTTTGACGTTAAGATTGACTCTAATACTGCAGTGGTAATACATCGTTAGACCGAGAAACTAGGCACTCCTAGCTATCTATTGAACATAATAAAGCGCTAGCGATGAAGGTAGCCATGGGAGTTCCGCGGGGTTCCGTCCTAGGACCGTTGCATTGAAACGGGTTCTACGCTGGGATCCTTCGATTACAGATGCTTCCGGGAATCCGCGCTTATAATTTTTGACAGAAGCTATCGTCACTATCTGTCGGTGCATGGGTGGGTGGTAAAGATCTGGGAATGACTGAACACATAAGGCGTACCAGTGGTAAGGTAAATAAGGTTGTTGGATCCCTGAAACGACTGATGCCATTTGATCGAGGCCCCAGTGGTGAGAGGCGTAGGATTTTGGCAGGGGTAGCTAATTCGATTATGCTGGAGCCGTTATCTATAACAAAGCGTTGAGAAAGAAAATTTAGTTAACTGATGCTCAGAAGCCAGCAAAAAGTAGTGATGTGCGTGGCCTGTGCTTACAGAACGGTGTTGTTTGATGTACTACTGGTGGTGGCTGGTATCTCGCCAACTGATTTGCTGTCTGAGGAGAGATGCGTGCTCTATAAAAAGGGCGCCGAAGCTAGAGAGAGGCGCTTTTTGTTAGATAAAAGGATAGATGTGATGCAACTGGCCATATTGCATGGTCTCGAAGGTTGACTAGGGATATCAAGACTTGGATTGACAAGTGAGCGAACTGCGTATATTGGGGCGAAGAGGAGGATACTCCTAATCATCTACTATAATGTGGTAGATCGGTCGATTACCAGAGACAGCTGAGTTGATACTCGGCTGCTCATAATTTTGCCAGGCATGTAAGCGAGGGTAAATGGGTTTATATTCAACCCAGAAATAGACCAAGGAACCAACAGGTTTCTTTGTATGCTGTGCATGTAAATAAGTACATATGTAGATGCACGGCGCTAAAAATAAGATGACTAACTATCTTTGGTATAAAAATTTGACGCAACGCTGTAAGCGTGGGGGGAGTTGTGGCGAATAATTGAGGGAAATCTTAGTGAGTATGACACATTTCCGGAGAATCTCACACTTTGGACAGGAAAGGCCAATACTGTCGAGCTTTTCTGTCGGAGACTGGCTATAAAAAAGTGAATTCGTAACATAATTCCATTGTTTTGTATACAAAATGGAAGAGCTGGACTTGGCTGACATGTGATTTCAACAAGACGGTGCCACATGCCACACCGCATACGAAGCAATGGCCCTATTGAGAGACGAGTTCGGTGAACAGTTTATCTCACGTTTGGGGCCCGTCAATTGGACGCCTAGATCGTGTGATTTAACGCCGTTGGACTATTTCTTGTGGGGCCATGTTAAGGCTACTGTCTACAGGGATAAACCAGCAACGATTGACGCACTGGAAGCCAATATTGAAGCATTTATTCGTGAGATACCGGCCGATATTTTGGAGAGAGTGTGCCAAAATTGGACCTTGCGAATGGGCGTTCTATCGACTCAAATAAAGATTTAATCGTTTTTTTCAAATATTTTGTGTTTTTTTTTGAAAATCAAATCCTATACCTCTTAAAAAATCACCCGTTATATACCTGCCCTGTCCGGAATTTCATTCTAGGACTATCCGCAAACAACGTATATAGACGACTATACAATTCAAAAATTTGATTTTTGGCCAGCTTTTTAGGATTTTGCCCCACTGTGGATCGGTCGAAATGCTCCTGATCCTCGAAAATGACCAGCAAGATCTCCTGACCTCAATCCAATGGATTTCTGGTATTGGGGAGAACTTAAAGGGATGGTTTATGGGGCTGGTCCAATAACAACTGAAGCACAACTTCGCGAAAAAAAATTTAATGCGGCTGAAATAATAAATGGACAACTTCGAGAACCTAGAGTAAAGGGGCGTTTTCCTAGCGACGGGTTTTTTGCGTCGTGGTCAACGTGATACGTTGAGCGTTTTACGTCGAGCACTTCTTCCTCGAAATTTAATGGGAGTGTTTTCCTAAACGGCGGATCACGTCAGCGTGGAACGTAAAACGTCGACGGAATAGATCCGACTGCTTTCGGAGGAGTCTATTCCGTTGTACGCTGCGTGATTTGCTTTGAGCGCACGTGCTATATTGAGGTTAGGAAGCGTGTTATCTTGTGTATACTGCTGTAAAAAATGTCACAAACTTCTGTGAAACTACCAACGGTGAAATTTTCTGCCGATGATGACGAAGTACTCATTGAATTTGTACAGAACCATACAATATTGTATGACATGAAAGACCCGGACTTCAAGAACACATTAAAAAAAGACCTCATTTGGATTGAAGCTGGAAAAGTTTTGAATAAAGAAGGTACGTTTTTTAAACCGTTTTAGTATGATATTTATTGTTATTATAAGTATTAGTAACAGTAGGTTGAATAATGTAAATTATATTGTTCTAAAATAATATGGTAAGTCAACAAGATTTTCAAACGGGTAGATATAGGGATTGATTTATAGAATAACCTCTTGAAACTGTAGTTATATAACAGTAGGTAGTGCTTTTAATGTGAGGGAATGCATCACTGCGGACTGAAGTAATTAGTGAGCTGCCTCCTCACTTCAAATCCTTCAGCCCCCGCAAAACCACCTGTACCTGCTAGATTGATAAGGTTTTGGGTTGGGAAGCCCTCCAGATTTGACGTTATATCCACTTTTGTAGGATTCAATGATAAATAATCATCCCTCAGCATGTTGTGTAAACTGCAGCACACCACAATAATCGAGTCAACAGTTTCAGTTTTTAAATTTATTGGAGTAAAAAAAATTCTGAAAATGGTGCTCATGATGCCAAAAGCGTTTTCAGAAGTTCTTCTGGCTTTGCTGAGGCAGAAGTTGAACTTTCTTTTCTTTTCATCGTGCAATATTTGTGCTCTGGGATCAGGCTTCATCATATGTTCACTCAAACTGAATGCATCATCACCAACTACTACGTGAGGTAGCAAGGTGTGAGAGTTTGGTAGGTATTTTGGAGGTGGAAACATGGTTCCATTCTTCACTAACTCTCCCATTTTGGACTTTTAGAAAATCCCTGCATCACCCTCTTTTCCATACGATCCCACATCAATAATGAGAAACTTGCAGTTTGCATCAACCATTGCAAGAAGCACCGCAGAATAATATCCCTTGTAGTTAAAGTAGAGACTTCCCGATTTGGCTGGTGCTACAATTCTCACATGTTTGCCATCAATGGAAGCTATACAGTTGGGAAAACTCCAACGTTTCCAAAACTCGTCTGCCTTCTGTGCCCAGCGTATCTCTTCAGGCGGAGGTAAAAAAAGTGGAACAAGCTTTGTCTGTAGAGCAGCTAACACCTTGGGCACGATCTTGCTTATTGCAGAGTGTGAGATGCGGTAGCCAAATGAAAGTGATCTGTACGAATAACAAATTTGAAAAATTTTTGAAATAACCAACACATATTAGGTAGTGATATTTTTAATAGAAGTGTCGTGTTTGTTGCAGGAAGCGAGTGTAAGAAACGCTGGAAACATATGAGGGATCACTACAAGAGGGAAAAAAAAGAAGAAAGAGGCTCTACAGGAAAGGCTACAAAGAAAAAAAGAGCGGTGTATTGGGAGCGGCTGCAATTTTTGGATACTGCGGGAGATGAAAGAAGCAGCTCTACAAACGTTCTTTCTCCGTCCAGTAATGAAGCTTCAAATCCCGAGGAACCAAATATTAACAATCTGGAACATTCTGAGGAGCACGAAACTCCAGAGCGAGCCTCAGAGCGATCACCAATTGTATCTTCTACACCAGCCTCAGATTGCCATGAGGCCATCTTTCGACCGCCAGCACCATAATCGAGGAAAGAAAAGGTTGCAATCCAAAAATATTTCCAAGAAAGAACAGAGGACAGATTACATTTGAAACGGTGCCTTGACGACATTGTGGGACAGCCACTACCCGAGGACAACGAAATAGATTTGTTTTTCAGAACTATGGCAGCCACTGTCAAAAAATTTAGACCAGACCTTGCCACCAAAGCAAAATCGAGTGTGTTTAAAATTATTACTGATTTGGAAATAGTAAACCAGCAATTGCTTTTGCCAGCCAATGAATTTCATTCGGATTCCTACTCCTCATCATCGTCACACATCCACAGAACCTACCTACACCAGCTTGGACATAATATCAGAAGCATTCACACAAGCGATTCAAAATGGGGATGATAACTAACTTTTCTTTAAGTTATTTATTCAGTTAACAATAACGTAAAAATAAATTATTTGTTTGTGAAATAAAAAGTATTGTTTGAAACGTTTTTTAACTTACCTTAGCGTTGACGCCAATTTTTCTGCTGCTGTTATTGGTTCTTTGACTCTGTTATAGGAGGAGGTTGTTATATCTTCTTCAACGAGGCTTAAAACAAAGGAAAACCGTTCGCGGGTCAATCTAAAATAGCTTTGAAACTTTTCTTCTTCATCACGGAGATGGCGCTTGATCAAAGTGTTGTATATTCCTTCATTCATGCGTTTTTGGAACACAGCACTCACTTCCTTCCTGCTCTCAGCCAATTCCCTGAAAATTATTTCTTCATCCCTGTCATCATCTATGATTTCTGTTATTATTAGCATCGCAGCGAGTTTTCTTTTCCTCCGTATTACCTCCATTTTTTAAAACTGCAACTGAAATCTGGCACCACCTACGTTGACTGAAAACGCGTCTCTAGGAAAACACTTTCACGCAGCGTACTGCATTTCACGTCCCTGCCAACGTGATTACGATAAATCGGTTCCGCGCTGCGTAAAAAACCCGTCGCTAGGAAAACGTACCTTAAGAAGAAACTGCGTTCGTCGTAATGAAGCTTGTATGGAAAGTGGAGGACGACATTTTGAACACCTTCTTCAGATACAAAAAGTGCAGTGTGGGTTTTAAAAAAAAAACAATGTATGTATCAAAATTGTATTCCCTATGTATAAGTGGATTTTTTAATACGTTCAATAAACTTTCACACACCAGGTGAAGCACTGAGACAGTTAGTGGTAAGTCCGTTTTTTTAATTGTTTGCATTTTACGAGTACATTATCAAATAATGAAATAATGCCTAAGAGCCAAAAATAACAAACTCCATCTTTATTTACACTGCGTTCCGTCGTAATTTGCGTCTAGCTTTGCGGCATTGTCAGATTTTATTTTACTTTAAAGTCGCTTTTCTCTAAAAAAATGCCGTTTTGATCCAAATGTTTTATGAAACTTTTTGCTCCTTTTAACCCCCTCGATCATCCATTTAAATAATGACTGTCATAACGTTTACACCCTGTATTGTAGATTTACAGCTTTAGTTTTCTGAGTAGATTGCGGTTGTTAAGGGGATCCCGGGCTGATACCTATGCATGAGTTATAATAGTTCGCAGCTTGCAAATCATCCGATGTAATTTCGATGGCATACGATGTATTCATGTGTGTCGGAAATGCTATGTTATATTGCAGTTTTGTTTTGATAGTGTTGCTAACCAACGATGAACGGTAATTTTGCCTGTTTTTTATACCGATCTGATAATAGCGACCTTGATGGTCTATCTACAAAGCCGTTATAATTTATGGATAATTTTATGGTCTGTAATGATTCATCAATGTGCTAACGATGGTCATAATTTAAGTCTTTACAAAAACTAAAAAATAAAAGATAATAATGTTCGTGTCAAAGCGCCTCGTTGACTTTTTTCCACGCCACTCGGCGAGAAAGTATTGTAATCCCAAAAAAATTTTAAAATGAGATATTATGTTATGTTTTCAATCAACAAGCATTGGTCCGCCTATAACTTGAGAAATACCGCTCGGATTTTGATGAATTTTCCACACCAAGTTACTACTATGCTAAGGAAAAAGCTTTTTAGTTGCAAAAATAGGAAAAAAATCGCCCATAATTATTTTTTTGACGATTCAGTGGTTCATGGTTGTTTTTCGAAAATTTTCCCTAGGAGTTAAAAGTCGCGAGTTGGGCTGTACAGGGAGAGGAAGAGGGTTTTTAATATTTTTGGCGGCAGTATATGAACAACTCGTTGCTAATATACTAAGTGACATATAAATCCGAACACCCAGTTTAAATGGTTTTATTTTAATAAAATTTTGTATAAGTACTTAATGAAGCATAATAAGTAAATGATAAAAATTTCAAAATGATTGCACTGCTTTAAAGCCCTTTGACCTTTAATAATGTGTGGATGCACCCTGATGTGCTACGCATTCTCCAACGCGCCTAGGCATGCTTCTGATCAGGTGGTCAATGTCCTCCTGTGGTATCTCATTCCAGGCAACCACCAACTCCTCTCGAAGTGCTTCTAAAGTCTGAGAAGGACGTTGCAAATTGAGCACTCTCCTACCCATCATATCCCACACGTGCTCAATTGGGGATAAGTCGGGAGATCTTGGTGGCCATGGTAACAATGTGACATCATTATGTTGAAAGAAGTCTATTGTGACTCTTGCAACATGTGGTCGGGCATTGTCTTGTTGGAAAGTTGGATCTGCCAGGGTGTCAAGATAGGGTAAAAGATGGGGTTCAAGAACTTCGTGGATATAACGCTGCGCGTTCATGTTACTTCTGATGAAGATTAAAGGTGACCTGGAACCATAAGCTATAGCACCCCAAACCATAACTCCAACAGTGTGATCAACAAAAAACTGTGGATTCCTCCTTTCACCACGTCGCCTTCTAACCCTGGCACGACCATCGTGCATGCCTAAACAAAATCGAGACTCGTCACTACAGACAATACTGTTCCATTCCTGAGTGACCGTTGTCTGCACCACTCAAGGCGATTACGTCGGTGTTCTCGAGTTAAAGGGAGGACCCAGTGTGGCCGGTATGAAAACAAGCCAAAACTTCTCATTCGTCGGTAAACACTTCGCATGCCAATAGGTCTTCCGTGTTCTGCAAACCATTCATTTGCAATAGACCTGGTAGTGGAGAAACGGTCCCTTAAGGCCAATAATCTTAGGCGGCGATCTTCACGGTCTGTTGTTCTACGGCGGCGTCCAGTGCCCCTTGCTCTTTGCGTACGGCCTTCTCGAAGCCATGCCTGACAACACCTAACCACAGTATCTACACTTCTTTGTACTCTAACTGCAATTGCCCGAAAAGAAAGTCCAGCTTCCCGAAGTCCCACTATACGGCCCCTATCAAACTCACTAAGTTGACGAAATCGTACAGGTCTCCGTACTCTAGGCATCATAACCGATCGTAAAGGATGTCAAGAACCAAAATCCGCCAACGTTGATTCTTTACTGCGGCTGAAATATTCATTTTTAGAGCGTTAGTGAATTAAAGAAAAGCAGTATAAAAACCGGAATGTCCAACTGATAAGGCTGAAAATTTTTTCACTTGTTATTTACAGTAAGATAAATACATTCACCAACTTTTATTAAAATAAAACCATTTAAACTGGGTGTTCGGATTTATATGTCACTTAGTATACTTAGTAAAACATCATCCTGATTTCTCCTTGCCTGTCCGCTCATAGTGTGAACACAGATGTTAATTTTAACTCAGTAACAGGTCACATCCAGAACTTGCATTGCCATCCCTGAGGCGTTGACATTGTTGAACAATCTGCCAAAAAAGGATTTTATCAGATTTATGCAGTTTGGAAAAGTATCATCCACTACGAAGCGGCCACGGCACCTCAGTAATCGAGCCCTGCGCTAGCGGCCTATAATTATCTTTTATACCGCAGACAGAAGCCTAAATACCAGCGCATCGCGGTTGATATCTTGACGAAACCCAGTTAATCCGACTTTTGGACTGCTTAAACTCTGGAAAGCCTCATCAGGTAGATTGTTCCATGATCTACACACCATAGGGTGAAGGAGCGATCTTATCGACCAGTTCTGGATGTAAGAATGTCGACACGGTTACCATGGAAGGTTGAAGTCAGCCGGGTCTCTCTTAAATCTGACAACAACTGAAGATGTCTCAAAATACTATCGCCTCAAAAAACCCAGAACCATTTTTCTAAACTTCAAACTACATTTTTTAGGTAGCCTATTTTCGATTTGTCTGTCGTTGTCTAGATTATCTGATGTTCCTCTCATTTTAAGAATTATAAACATGAACGTTCAAGCTGTATTTGATATAGTCTAGTGCAAACTACCCTGAGAATGCGTAAATCGTGCGGTGTACATTCCAAGATAAAATCTGTATATGACATCCCACATCGCTTCAATATACGGCCCGCTGTGATTTCTAGCTATTGCCATCAAATTTTACAATATATTCCACCAATGACAATAAAACGTTAGCGGAACGTATGAAACGTATGGTAACAGCCGCACCTTTCCTAAAGGAAGCCATACACCGCTATGATACAGAATTGTCTAATGACGTTTGATTATTACATATATATATAGGGTACAAAATACAATTACTTGCTAATTTTGAAAATTGGCAAAACTTTTAGGCTAAAGTTGACTCTTTTGACGATAAAATCAAGCTTTCTGAATTCTCTATGGAGCCATCATCAGGATTCTGAAAACACAATTGTGATGCTAGCAAATAAGACAGATTTAAAATGTCAGACAACTTACTCGTCGGTGAGGTTGCAGCCACAAGGTGTTTCAGAAAGAACGTAGAGAAGATCGAACTTGTCTTCAGTATAAAAACAAAAGGACGGGGACATTGGGCTTGTTAAAAAACAACAGATACCTTCGTTAAAAGTTAAGAAAACTTAACTAAAAATTTTTTTATATCAATAAACCCGAACACGATAAAAATACTGCACGTGGGGAGACATTTGGTTGAAACAATCGGAATGCAGTCCCCAACCTTCTACTACCACTACACGTGGAGAGGGGGAAAGGCACGGAACGGTAAAGCGTCGACAGAAGACAAGTGATTGACGCGACGGAATGTGGAAAAGTGCACCTCCCTGTCCAACTTTGGGTATGAAGTATACGAGGGACGCTCAGTAAATCTCCACTAAAATGCTGGAATAACTTGTTTTGGAACAGAGTGTGTGGTTAATCTGAGTGCAAGAATGTGTGATATTGATACAACCTTGAAAAGATGGATTATGTGCACTTTTCCACGTTCCGTTCCGTCAATCACTTGTCTTCTGTCGACGCTTTACCGTTCCGTGCCTTTCCCCCTCTCCACGTGTAGCGGTAGTAGAAGGTTAGGGACTGCATTCCGATTGTTTCAACAAAATGTCTCCCCACGTGCAGTATTTTTATCGTGTTCGGGTTTATTGATATAAAAATTTTTAGTTTTCTTAACTTTTAACGAGGGTATCTGTTTTTTAACAAGCCCAATGTCCCCGTCCTTTTGTTTTTATACTGAAGTTCGATCTTCTCTACGTTCTTTCTGAAACACCTTGTGGCTGCAACCTCACCGACGAGTAAGTTGTCTGACATTTTAAATCTGTCTTCTTTGCTAGCATCACAATTGTGTTTTCAGAATCCTGATGATGGCTCCATAGAGACTGCCGAAAGCTTGATTTTATCGTCAAAAGAGTCAACTTTAGCCTAAAAGTTTTGCCAATTTTCCCAATTAACAAGTAATTGTATTTTGTACCCAACTAGTCGTTGGCTTTGGCAATGACTACTTCTCATATATATATAATGGGTGATTTTTTGCTAGTATCTTTTTGGCAACACTGTTTCTGACAGATGACGCGTGAATCGTGTCTTGTGTCATTGTCAAACTTGTTCAATTTGGTCTTTAATTTAACCATGAATCGACTTACGAACGAACAACGCTTGCAAATTATTGAATTTTACTATCAAAATTCATGCTCGGTTAAGAGAGTGCATCGAGCACTGCTTCCAATTTATGGGCAATTTGGTCGGCCGACTGAGGGAGCTATTCGGAAGCTT